CAAACTCGTGTTCATCTTCGTAGTATATACTGCTGGTCCAATTTAAACATCTGTAATTTAGAATACAGAAAGTGCCGTTATCCGATAATACATCTAAATGGAAGAACAGACTTTGCAATTGCTCAACCTTTTTCAACGAATATATTTGCAAGCATACCATTGACATTGCTATTATGTTGATATTTAATAAATCACGTTCATCAGCAAAGAACACACCTTTGCATGAAAACAGAAAATGAGAAAGACTACACAAAGCAAGAAAAGTTCTATTTATACAATAATTGTATGATTTAGTTATTCACTCAGCTTCTATTAAAAATGGCTTGATATTTACCTATTAGTTCATTGAAAAATCTGCTTTGATATGCTTAAACTACCCATGTGACAGTAAAACTGAAAAAAATCAACTGGTAAATTTATTTATAAGTGAACCGTGTTAAGTACTCTTTTTTTTTTGGAGACAAGGCCTTTTATTATATAATAGTAAATATAATACCATAAAACGGTTGGAACAAACGAAAAGAAAAACAACGAAGAGACGCATGACTACTGTCTTTTGTCTCTACAAGAAAAGGAAAGAAAAGGAAAATTTACAGTTTTGTGTTTGTGACATATGGTGAACATAACAGTTTACACTACAACATGATAATCACAGCACATAACTTTATATAGAATATAGAAACAGCATAAAAGAAAGGAAAAAACGACTATATAGGATTGAGTCAGCCAATATATTGACACAACTTCATATGTAATATGACAAGAAAGAAAAAGAAAACAAAAGAGCTGACTAGATGAAATCGAGTCCGCAATTGTATTGTTTTCTTTCTTTATGTATATGAAGCAATCTGTGTGATGTCATGTTTGTAGTTGTTGTTGTGTTTGTAATGCTTGGAGAATGCCTTGTAGTGATCGGTGATAAATCATTTCGTTGTTTGATGATGCAGTTGAAGATGCTCTTTCGAGTAAATTAATTGCATAATCTTTGATTCTTGGAATGTTCGCGATTCAATGGATAGAATCGACAGACGTATAATGTGGTAAACCTAATGCTACTCGAAGTGCTTTGTTTTGGACGATTTGAATACGGTCCCATATTTTGTTATCGGCAGATAGAAGAACCGGATAATCATATATGATGACCGTTCTTATAAGTGACTTGTATAAGTTTATCATGATGTTGTGGTTCGGTTCAATTGCAGCTCGATTAAGAAAACGAAGTAAACTTAACCGCGCTGCAATTCTTGTTTCGACTTGTTTCTGGTGTGTTCTCCAACTTAAACGATTGTCAATTATCACTCCTAAATATCTGGTGGAAGTTGCTGGTTGAATGATGATGTCTTCCACTTTAACTTGCACCGGATTTTTGTACTTCTTTCGAGGATGAATGCTGAAATGAACTAATTCGGTCTTGATTGGTTGCAGCTTTAGTTTCCATGCTTTGCAACATTTTTCAAACTCGTTGATTGATTGTTGAAGTCTATTGTTTAAGTTTGCAAGTTGATGCGAAGATGTCCATAAAGCTGTATCGTCGGCGAACAGTCCATGTTCTGTATGTGGTGGTATTCCATTCATCAAGTCAGAAGTATAAATGATGTATAATAATGGAGATAATGGTGAACATTGAGGTGTCCCACTACTGAGAGTAAACAAGCGCGATAACGTGTTATCTAGTTCAACAGTAGCAGTTCTATTCTCGAGGAACGATATAAGATATTTTATGATATAAGTTGGAAGTCGAAGATCATTGAATTTGTAAATCAAGCCTTCATGCCAAACCGAGTCAAAAGCAGCTTCGATGCCGAAGAAGCTCGCTGCTGCATGTCTTCTTTTCATCGGATGATGCAGTTGACTTTTGATGTAACGTTCAATACGCACTATGTTATACATAGTACTTCTCTTCGGTCGGAATCCTGCTTGATGTTGTGGTAAGATGTTTCGAGCGTTGAGTTCGAGCAACAGACGCTGTTTGATTATACGTTCCAACAGCTTGCCAAGGCAACTTAGCAGACTAATTGGACGATAACTTGACGGCTGTTGCTTGCCCTTATTTGGCTTCAATAGAAGAATAATGTTAGCCTTTTTCCACATGATTGCAATGTAACCCACATCGACGATTGAATTGAAGAGCAGAGTTAAATGGTCGATCAGTTGCGACGTGTAATTCTTTAAACATCTGTTGTGAATGTTGTCAGGACCTGTCGCACTGTTTCTAAGTTGTTTCATATGCCATTTAACTTCTTCTGGTGTTATTTTCTTCCATTTAATGTCAGCTGTGTTCTGCATTCGATTTCTGATGACGTTGACTTGATTCGACACTTGATCATGAAATGGCAATGTATTGTTAGGAGCTGCATAGATTTCGCTTTGAAAGAATTCAGCAAAAACATTTGCCTTCTCCTTTTCTGATGTTGCAACAATATTATTGTATTTCATGATCCGAGGAAACGATTGTTTGATTCTTTTTTGATGGAATTTTCTGACCGTTAACCAGACTGATTCAGAAAACATCTTCTTTTGACATAACGACGACATAAGCGTCTTGTAATGATCTTTACGATCATTTCGAAGAGAGTTTGTCAAAAGTAATTTGTATTTATAATAAAGTTGTTTGTCTGTCTCTTGACCATCCTTTCTCCATCTTCTATAGTGTTGATGCTTCGTTTTGATTAAGCTTCTTGTAGCTTCACTGATTATGTAACTAGAAGTTGCTTGTTTCAATTTTGGTATGGCTGCCTGTGTAGCTACTAATAGGCTATTTGTGATGAACATGTTATATTCTTCTATCTTCATTGTTGTGTTGATTGTCCGCGATTGATTCCATAGCTGTAATTGATCATTTGGAATTTTTCTAAATTTGCTCCAATTAGCAGCTTTGAAGCTGAAAGAAGTTCGAGGTGATGTTGGTTTGTGTTCCACGCCAATTGAAATTTCGAGTGTTAAAGGTTTATGACCGCTTGTTGAACCAATAGTTAGATGTGTTTCAACATTTGAGATGAATGTCAGAAGGGGCTGACTGGCAATGATCCAATCAATCTTTTCTTCATAATCATTTCTCTCATATGTTGAACTATCGTCTTCAATGCAGTATAAATAACCTTCTTCTAATAAGTCTTGTAATTGTCTTCCTTTTGCATTTGTTTTTCGGGAACCCATATGCTGTAATGCAGCATTTAGATCCCCTACTATCATAACATTGTTGTTTAACTTGTATAACTTGTGGAAGATATCACAGCATATGCTTGTTTTTGGCGGGATTTAAATTGATGCGATAATAATTGATTTGAATAACGATTTTGTTGGAATTTCAATTGCAACAATTTCATTTTGACCAGTTGTTTCATTGAGAATCTCACTACATTTGATATGATGCTTGACAGCTAATAATACTCCTCCACCCGATTTTCCTACTCTATCATTTCTGAAAATGTTGTAGCCCTTCAAGGAGAATGGTTGTTCTCCTTTAAGATTAGTTTCATTCACAGAGATGATATCGTATGTGGAAAATTTGGCAAAAAGTTCGTCTTTGTGTTTGACTATTGAAGTGATATCAATGTGACATACACTAATTCTCATTATTGTCTGTCTACATATCTTTGTTGTTCGTTATAGTGGCATCTGATGAACTATTTGTTGAGCGATTTCTTTTAACTGTTTTCGATGTTGCTTTCTTCTTGTTTGGTGGTTTTTTAATATCATTGGTTGTTGTGTGCTGTTGTGGTGTTGAATTTGATGTTGCAGATGTGGCGGTCTTTTGTGTTGCATGTTGTTGTATGTTTTGTTGAACGTTGATAACATGAATTTCATTGTCACTGTCTGCCATTGAATCATCGGATGTTTCAGTGGATGCAACATCCATCATACTATCGACAGTTGCAAGGGTCTTCTCTATCTTGCTAATACGTTGATGAAGAGATTTCATTAATCGATTTGTTGTTGCTTCAATAATTTTCTCCATTTTCATGGAGAGTATATTGACTAGTGTATCGATTAAGTTGTTCAATGATGTGTTGAGACCTTGTTGTTAATTTGATGATAACATCGGGAAATCGGCAAAACTGCTGATGTTGTATGGTGTTGCTGTTGGTTGTGATGAAGAAGTTCTGTATTGTTGGATGGCCCTTAACATACGTTTTTCCTGCTCCTTGTAAATGGGGCATTCATTTGGCGTTGCCAAGTGGATTCCTTTGCACTTGCAACACTTCCATGTATCGGCTGTACCCTTGCATTTGTCGACCTGATAATTGTCACCACATCTTGCGCATGTTTGCTGTTTTGTCTTGCAGTACTTTGCTACGTCGTGGTATTTAAGGCACACGTAGCATTGTACTGACTTTGAATTATGTTTGGCTACTTCAGCCACAAAGTGCATTAAGTCGACCTGTAGCCCAGTTTGGACAAACGTGTTTCGATTTTGTGCATCAGCGAATGTTACTTTTATTGTTTGAGTCGGTGTGTTTCGCTCTTTAGCTTTTAATCGAATAACATCTGTAATATCGAGACCAACGTCTTTTAGTGCTACCGTTATTCGATCTTCTGGTATTTCTAGATCGACTCGTTTAACAAAGGCTATTTTGTCTGTATCCTTTATTCCTTGAATAGAACGAGGTACATACAATTTCGCCGATGTCTGACCATTTGTTGCAAGAATTGCTGTAAACTCGTTTAATAGGCGATTAAACGAGCTTACATCGATTGCGTATAGTGTGAACATTCCTGTGCGACTTAGTTGGATGTCATTAACACTAATGTCTTTTAAGTGCTTCTTGATGAGGTCGCTTACCTGCATCTTGGTCAGTTTTGCTCTCTTCAAGATGAGGGGGGCTATAGGTGATTTTGTTTGGCTGGTATTGTTAGCCAATGATGTTTTCTTTTGACCTGGATTTTGTCCATTTTTTTCATATTAACCTTCTTCTTCTTGCTTGCACCACCTCCATTTTTTGGAGGCATTTTTTCACCAAAAAGCCAGAGGTTTTCAGAGAAAAATTCTGGAAACGATGAGACGAAGGTTTTTTGCGAAAAAACCAGGATATTTAACGACGGATTAACGACGAAAAACTTCGACGAAATTTTCGAAAATCAAACGAGAAGAAACTATTATAGTAAGCGAATAGAAAATGCGACCGATCACTAGTTTGTTAGCGAGGGGAATGCAGAAAATAGATGATTACAAGAAAGAGATAAAGCAGAGATCATAAGAGGATAAAATCCGATTCTTGTCTGTTACGTTTGACTATGCAATTAAATCAATTATAAATATGGAAAAGATGATTCATACCCTATGTTGTGCTATAAAGAAATCTGCATAAAAAATCCCTTTTGTGAATGATTTTACAATATACATTATTCATGGGTTAACCCAGAGGTAACCCGAGGGTTGGCCGATTGGGTTCATACATTAAGCTTGACCCATGGGTCACCCAACCCGGTGGGTAGTGGTGACGACCCAACCAATCTGGCATCTCTGGTCCCAATTAACTAATCAATCAAATCATTTGAAACGAAAATTACAAATCCGTATGGATTCAGAATGTTCATTCTTAGACATATTTGGTCAATTGCTTTTAGAATATGAAAATAGATACTACTAAGATTTAATTATTCAAGTTAAAGGTCCTAAAACTTAGCCCGAATCAGTGTCCTATATATGTATTATATACGAATATAGGATCCTATATAAATGATAGTTTTAATTCCTAGATATTCCTATATTCTCACAAAGTGCCTCAACGAAGCCAGATTGCACCATATAAATAAACGTAGCAGAGGTGGCAACCCCAAAATATGATGGGATTTGTCTTTTCGAATGAAGCTAAATTTGCGTTTTGCCTAGTCTCACATTTGTTTTTGAGTAAGGCTATACATTCTGCTGCTTATGTATATGATTCACATTCTCCACAATGTTTTAGCTTTTTGCTCTACAGCAATAAACTCTTTAATAACTTTCAAGGAAATACCAAAAATTCCAAGTCTTTCTTGTAAAGAAGATAAAAAATTGACCAACTCGACAACGGAAATCATCGAAAAATAATATTGCTTAACTGCATCAAACCTTAATGGACACCTGTGGGAGCCTAGCAAGAAAAATCCGAAGTCAATATACTCTCAGAAATACTTAAAAACATTCATCAGGTTCCACTCGGATCTATTGGTATTCATCCGGATCTATTGGGATCTATTGGGATCTATTCGTATTCATCCGGATCTATTGGGATCCATCGGGATCTGATGGGATCCGGGATCCGCTTTTCCCCCTTGGTTGTTATCCATAATCTTGATCATCAGTTCAATTTTTCTTAGTATTTGTTTATTTTCCTTTAATTTTATTTTCACTGTCATTTATCTGCCACACTAACGAAATTCATACTCACACGTTTGAAGTCTTGTTCAAGTGGAAATGCTGATTCTTGCAATATGACATCATTGCTTAATTATTTCACTTGAAAAACATTTATTTTCACCTTTTTATGTAGCACATGGCAGACATTTTGACATTCTACTGATGACCCACATCACTGTCTATCATGAAATCGGCATACACTGTAAAAAAAAAAGGGCAGAATAATGAACGCTTACGCTTCATTTTTCTTCTATAAACCCTTGAAGGGTTTAAGCGCATGTCATATACCCTATGAAGGGTATATAAGCCGAAGGGTTTGTTATCGTAAAGGTATATGAATTTAAAAAGGGTATATGAAACTGTTTTAAGGTTTTTTTTATTTCATAACTTTATTCAAAGTGTTTATTAATAAACGGGTAGGTGTAGATTAATATACGTATTTCCAAAATCAGTTTATTACCCAAGAATCAGGGGTAGATTATTATACGATTCATACAAAACAAATCTTATTCTACGGCTAGGGGTTGATTATTCTCCATTTTCGGTAGAAGCGTTTATCGTAATACCTATGAGGGTAGATTATTATACGACATCGTGAAAAGGGTTCATTATTCTACTACCAATGGTTGATTATTCTTCGCTTTCTAAAAAAGCGTTTATTATAATATCGTTGAGGGTATACCAGTATACGAGGTCATCAAAATGGTTTATTATTCTACGATTAAACCTCAAATTTCTGAAATTGTCAATAGAAAGGTTACAATCCTACAGTTTGATTGAAAACATGCAGCTATACCTGTTAAGATAAACTAGTACATAATGCTAAGTTCTAGTTTCAAAAAGCTTTGTTTTGGACAGGGCACTCGATTCTTTTATAGAAGTTGTGCTAAGTGAGTGACAAGATTATTTTGACTCAAAGTCGCTGCAAAATCTAGCTGTTTGGCAGTTGTGGCACGTTTATAACATCACGAATCGATGTGACGATGAAAATTCACAAAATAACTGATTAATTATTTGCAATATATGAAGTAAACAATCGAATCGTTGGCTACGCATCAGTCAACACCCAGTTCAATTGTTAAAGAGCGATTCCAATAGCTAGTATCATACTCTCTGATATTCGCAACAAGAATTGTAAAACTAATATGAGTCATCATCCCTTTAGATCGAATAATGATTGTATGAAAAAGCTTTCAAAAAGGATTCATATTCAACGCTAATAACTAAAGTGTCTGAAAACGAATTTCTGTTCTCTCGATGAAAAATCTGTTTTTTTTTAACGAGTATCATGATTCATGAAGTAAACTCTCAAACACTGTAATAAATAAGGATCACTTTATCGTAGGAATCACTTTCTTTAATGTTCACTTCAGATACTTTTGAGAACGAAGATTCGTTTTCAAATCAAAATTATTTTAAGAATATAAAAAAAAACTAAGTTGAGAGGAAAGCATTCGATGAATCATTGGCACTATGCTCAGTGAAATCCAGGATTTATCCATATTTCAGTTGAAGTTTAAGTCTTTATCAAAATAGTTTCTTTCATCTGATAGCATTATTGAGCCGAATAGAGGAACAGTACAAATTATAGTTTTTTCGATTAATTTGTTTTCATTCAAGACAAATCGAAGACATTGTTTCATTTCTTATTGCTTTTACGCGAAATGTTTTATTTCGATACTTGCAAGATACAACTAGAATCCTAAATTTATGATCATCAGATTTAGTAAGTCAATGCTTGTTTCTAATACGAATATTTATTAGGAACGCGTTATAGTTTTGCTTTTATTACTAAGGAATTTCGAATCAGTATACAGATATTTTTGTATTATCTAGTCGATAAGTTTTTTTTTCTGCCGAATGATTTAAAATCGAATATTACTTGTCAGCAATACAGACAAATCTGTCGTTATTAAAAAATATTTTTCAAAATGCCAATTTCTAGAGACTCCTTTCTTATTTTACATTTTGCCTATTATTCAATAGAAATTGGGAGTTGTTAAAAGATACTATCCAAACAATACATGAGGACACGTGTAGATTGGCATTTTCTTGTAACATCAGAGCGAATCACTCACGAAACTAAATCGTAAAAATGTTGGTTTGTTTATTGCAACTATAAGTAGGAAAATAATTCAAGTCGTCAAAGAACGAACCTTAAATACCAATAGAAAGTTTATCTCATGAGTATTAACCACTCTTTTTAATATCTTTCTAATATCAAATTGTTGGCAGATATTGATAACGTCATTTCGAAGAATGGTATGTAATTTGACAATCAGAATTATTTCAACTTAACCATCGTACACTGTAACAGAGCGACTTATGAAAAATTTAAAACAAAATTCATTGTGACAATTTTTTGGTAATTGCAACTTCATGTTGCTCTCAAAAAATACCGTATAGGCCTGATTAATATTAGAATCGACAATAATATAAACTAGCATGTCTTATCATACAGAAAGAAACACGTGCTATTTTTCAGAGTTGAGAAGAGAGCAGTAGGCATTTTCACGATCTGATCAAACAAGAGTAAATATCTTCGAGCTTACTTCCATATTTTAGTATGTGTGGTTTTCCATAGCATTACATGCAATTTGCAATTAGTCTTTTCGTATCGATCCTTTATACGTTGGCCGAAACGAAGATATACTTTACGAAAAAAACTCTTTTTTAGTTTGGATAAAAGAAACAACTTCCAGAAGAAATTTGAGCAAATTCTCTTTTTCAACCAGCCGCATTGGGTGCACCCTAATCTCAATTATATTCAATTAAATCGTATTGTTAATATTTTGTCTTCACTTTGTTAATGTCACGAGAATTATCAATATCGTTCCTTCTCTATGAACTCATCATTTTGTCTTAAAACTTTTCTTTATTTCCCCTAATCGACCAAAATGTTTTACATGATTCCCATCATTTTTTTTCTATGTGTATCTTTTCAGTGAAACCCTACCTTTTTATATAATCTAAATGCGAAATATGATTTTTCATTTTTTTATAACTGTTTACGATTCGAGCAAATGTTCGGAAAGATTCATTTCTATATAGAAAGATACATGTTCATAGAATGCTTCTATTGATTCATATGAATGAGGGAACATTTAACATGAAATAAACACTCCTGTTCATTCTCTATAAATTGCTCTATGTATATAATTTCACGAGCCCACTGAAAAATAAAGTATACTTTATCAATTGATTTCTTATCTAACAGCTGCATAAAGTTATCCTATCGATTCTATTCTGAATATTAAAGAAAGCATTATTTTCATGTTTTTGTTTTCTTTATGTAGATAAACATAAAATATTTCAGAAATGATACGAGCATGTGCTCATTCTCAATCAATAGCTCCATATCAATGACTTCAAGAACGGAATAAAAGTGAGTATGATTTTTCATTCGACTTCAAGTCTTTTCATATCGAGAATATTAACCAAATTTCTAGATAAAGTGAATCGTCTTCATATGATCATCTTATTCTTCAACATACATAAACAAGCCTTCGGAAACTAGAATGAACAGCTAGTCGTTCTCTACGAAATGCGTCATGTCGATGTTTGCTTCAACCATTTGAAATTTAGGTATGCTATTTTATTTTATTTCGCTTTTTTGCTGTTTAAGAAAATTATCTAATATAATTTTTCCTTCAGGAAACGATTTTTCTTCATTTAATCATTTTATTTATCTAGAGAAACAAGCGGGACTTTTGCAATTTCTACGAACAGGTGCTCATTGAAAATCAATTGCTTTACGTCGTTGGTTTCATCTAATTTCTACAAGTTAAGTATGAAGTTTCTTTTGTTTTTGCTTCTTTCATATCGAGAGAACTATCTGAACGATTTGTTTTTAGATGAAATAATTCATCTTCATCTGATCATGTTTTTCCTCTAGATAATCAAGTGGACTTCTAGATAGTGGTGCAAACCGAGGCTCATTTTTAACCAAATGCTTCACATCAATGGTGTCTCTGAGTGAATGAAAGTTAAGCATGACGGCTCACTTGATATCGTTTCTTCTATGTCGAGAAAATTATCTGACCGATTATTTTCTATACAAAAAGATTTGGTTTTACATAATCGTTTTCTTTATCTAGATAAAAATGAAAAACTTTCAAAATTACTGCAAACAACTGCTGGTTCTCAATAAATTGGTCCATCTCTATCATTTCAACAATCCACTGCTAAGTAAATTACATTTTTTTACTTCATCCTGCTGTGCCATATCGAATAAATTATTGGAAAGATTTTGTTCTTGGTGAAGTGATATATTTCCATTCAATCATTCTATTTATCTAGGTAAACACGAGTAGTTCTCAGAACTTGTGTGAGCATGTGCTCATTTTGAATCAACCACTTTGCGCCAATTTTTTTCACAATCGAATGAAAGTTAAGTATGGATTTTACATATCCAGAAAACCATTTCAGCGACCCTTTCGTATATGAAAAGATCTCCTTTTTTATAACCGTTTTATCTTTCTAGATAAACAAGAGAAACTTTAGAAAATGCTAAGAACACGAACTTATTCTCAATCAATTAGTCCACGTCAATGGTTTAATCGCCCCACTTAAAGTTACGCATCATTATTCATTTTATTTTCATTTAATCGTTCTATTTATTTAGATAAAGAAGTGAACGCATTGAAACTGGTATGAATGTGTGCTCATTCCCAATGAGTTACTTCAAGTCAAAGATTTATCCGACCCACTATAAGTTAAGTATGATGTTTCATTTCATCTCGTTTCATCCATATCGAAAAATAAGTGGAAGATTGTGTTCCTATGTGAAAAGATCCGTTTATATATTAATTGTATCTATCGATTCAAAGAAGTTGAACTTTGTAAATCATCACGAAAACATCTACATTCACAATTAATCGGTAGACATCAGTGGTTTCTATAATCGGCTGAAGGTGAAGCATCAGTTCTTTTATGAGATTGTGTTTGGTTCCTAAGAAAAGTATAGACAGGCTTGTGTTTATTTAGGATGGTGGAGTTTTTTTTCCGTTTGATACAAATAGATTAGTAAACAAAGTTGTGTATAATTTGACCAACTAGTTGTACTTTACAGTTGATGATTACAGAATGATACGACTTGTTTTCAACCAGAATAAGATGATTATATTTTTTTTATAATTGATTTGATTTTTTTTACAGAAGCTATAAGCTATTTCGTAAGGTGCTGACGCTATGTTTTTATGCAAGGCATTGATCGGGGCGAAGGAGAGAAAGAAACAATGAATTGGATGACTTCTGTGTATTTTTTTTTTGATGATAAGTAGCCGTCGTATCAGTGAGGGGAGTGTTTCTACTAAAGTTTTCCAGAGAATGAGCAGTAGTATTATGTAATTGAAAATAGCATTTCATGTGTAAAATTTAAGTTTCGATGAAGGCGCACACTCTTTATATATTCAGACGAGATACTTGATAACCTGAGTGCTTTATAATATGTTATTAATATTCGATTCTTGCTCACTTTTTAGTAATTTTTCTTTTAGGCCTTTAGATTTGATCTCTTTTTTCAATTAATGAAATTACGATCATGAGTTCAATAGAAAGATTTCGCATATAGGTGAGTGACAGTTACTTTGAACTTTCAGATGCGTTTCACAATGCACGTCAGCGATTGTTGTCAATTGGTAGCTGCAATGTACTGATTTCTAGTAAGTTTTCAATTTAATCAGAGATGTTTTAAGAGAAAATCGTCATCTATTAATAACTCACGCTTTTATGTTTAGGTTTCATCAAACAAAGTCTCTAAAGTAAATACAGAATGTGCTGAATTACAAATGCTATTTGCTTAATATCTTATGTGAGAATATCGCAAGCGGCCAACGTCAATAGAAGTGAGTAAAATTTTTCGTGTGACATCACAGAGAATTCATCTGAAGTAACCACTTAAAATCATTCCGCCAGGTTACTCACTCAGTTTTATGTTACTTTAGCTATCATGTTTTTATTGATTAGTCGCTCCTAGAAAGAGATTCGTACAATTCCTTTTAATCATCTTGATTTCGACTCTAGATCGAATTATCTTCAGGTTGTCTATTTTCGCTCGTTTCTCACTGAGTGAGTATTGAATTCTAAGATAAGATCGAGTGAGATTTTCAACAAATATGAAGCTCAAAACGTAGAGAAAATAACGGATATGGTTTCTTCCAGCCTCAGGGAGCCTACCATCCTCTTGTTAATTATTATAAAATGCCATAGATAGCTAGTGTTAGATACATATAATTATAGAAACTACAAATTGTTCAGCATATCTTTCTTCGTAGACATTTGTCTATCATCAACCAAGGTGAGAAAACAAAGTATTCAGTTATTCTCCGACCCCTGGAATTAGTTTATTGTACTCTTGAATCACTCTATTTATCCTAATATTCTCTCTGAAAACGATACTGGAGGTCCACAATCGTCTTCATAAACCTTACCATAAACCCTTAAGGTAGTTTATGGGGTTAACAATCGGTTCCATAAACCTTATCATAAACGCTTGGGGCGGTTGATGAGGTCCATAAACGCTTTTCAATAGCGTTTCTGAGAGGGGTTCATGAGTATAGTATTTTAATCAACCCTTGCTAGACTGAGCGTCGAAGGTTATATGAGAAAGTTTATGTGAATTATCAACCCTTTTCAGGGGTTTATGAAAGTGCAACGTGTCCCAAACCCTTTAAGGATTTATGAATCTGATCAACCCTTCAATAAACCTTCCAGAAAGAATATTTAACGTTAATAAACTCCGTATTAAACCCTTTCTAGAGGGTTTATAACAGGGTTTATGACTCGTTGATAAACGGTTGAAAAAGGTTTGCTACACGTTACACTTTCATAAACCTTTTTTTCGTTTATTATTCTACGTTTTTTTTACAGTGTAGTTTCAATGAAACCTAGATTATGATAGCTGTTCACAGCCACAGCCACAGCCACACCATTTCTGTATATTGTAACAGGATAAATTAGAATAAATGCAGTTGGTTTTTTCATTTAATTTTGAAGTAATTCTGTAGATTTAATGACATCTGATGAGATGCTTAAGCAAAATTGAGGCACGTCATGCGTGCCTACGTCACGCTACTGTAAACGTTTATCATTATATATACGGAAATTTGTAAAAAAAGTTCTCTATATCGCAAAAGTATAAATTAGAATAAATCCTGTCGGTTGTGCACTTATTTTTCAAGTAATCATATAGATTTAGTACCAATTAATGAGATCTTTATGCAAGATCGAAACACGTTATGGCTGTCTATATAACACCCTAAATACTTTTGACACTCGCTGTAAAAATACTAATAGTTACTATTAGTAACTTTGTTGGATCAAAAGCTCCAGATTGGAAGCTTCTTTATTATTAAATTAGTGTACGATTTCTTAGCATTGTCAGTCAGATCTTCAAATTTTTTTTTATGTAGCGTTGTTCTTATGGCGATTTCAACAATGCGGTTCGCAATTCAGCAGATAATCGTACTATGTCTATAGATTTGTCGTGGTCGTTCACACCAACGAATGGCGGTCTATTTGTATGATTTAACTGTGAAAACCATTTATATGCAAAGCCGCTTTTGGCGGGTAAGGTACCACAAAATTCTTTAGTGCTTATTGGGTAGTGGAAACGGTGATATGCCCGGATGAAGATTGCATAAGCCCAATAAAGCGTATACTCTGTCCATTTTTTATTTTTTATGTGAAGCCGAATCAAATATTGTAGCCATGGCTCACCTTCTCGGTTTTCGAGAAAACTAGCCAGGCTAAATAAGATATGAGTGTGAACGGCTAGTGGGGTGAAAGCCATCATTCTTGTGTTGTTTTTTACTATCGGCGGAGGAAGTTTCACATTTGTGCATGTTTTATTTAAATTTCCACTTGTGAATGCAAAGAAGCTTAGCGCTCTCTCCTCGCTTGTCCTCGCTCGGCCGTCTGTAGCAAATAAATCTTCATAGTGCAATTCACGTCCACACATGACATCAGCATCGAAACATAAGTAATAATCTGTACGAATGAAAGCTGAAATCGCCAGTTTAATGTCTTGCTGTACTAACCATGGATTATAGGCCTGAAACATTTTTTGTTCTGGTAGAACCCATGATTCACACACAACACGCATGACAGGATGAAGAGAATCAGTCCTCAATAATGACTCGTATATTTTAGTATAATGCATATCTGGGACAACTATCCAAATAACGTCGAACAATGAACTAATATTTGGATTCGTCATTTTGCAAGAGACAGCGAAGTTCGAAAGCAGATCAAAGTGTTCAAGTGTAGCAGGAAGTACTGCTGTCATCTTATGTTTCATTGGGCTCAGCTCATAATTGAGAAAAGAAAGTGTTTTGCGTTCAAGTGAATAGGATGGCTTCGCATCGAAATGTGTGCCATCTTTTCCTTTACTACTAGCATACAGCAGCTCATGCATTTTAAAACGTTGTTCAATGGTGTGGCGTCTTTCACGCGAACGAAGTAGTTCTAGAGCAATAATATCAGTATGAAGGAATAAAACTTCTGGCTTAAAACTTGAATTGAAATGTTCTTTTAAAATAGTTACAGCCATAGTCTCTGGTAGTCCACGTTTTTGTTTAATTATTGTACTAAATGCTGAATATATCACAAATCCACAAGCAATGCTATGCAAAACCATCCAAACGAATATAAAACGACGAAACACGATTCGATTCATCTGATGCTCCACAGTGAGATATAAACACTTTCCGATGACGTTTCAATTCCTTCAGAAAGGATCTACTATAATAGATAGATATGACTGAATTGCAACTTTTTGGTACATTCATGCGAACAGATGAAAGTGAACCTATACAATTTTTGAGTAGTGCATTTTATAGCAATCTATGCTAGTAGTACACAAAAGCATTTCCCAACACTTCATCGATTATTAACGGAGATATGCCCCTTTTATAAATGGGTGACATTTTCTACTTGTGGGTGCTTCCATGCCAAAACTACCATACTTTGAAAGTTCAAAACTTATATATAACAGAAATCATCACATGATCATAGATGGAATGATCGATGTAGTTGTCACGAAAAATGAAATTTTTTTTCCACCTGAAACTCGGGAGGGGAGCACGGCGATAACGAAAAACACATTTTTATCATTCTGGAGAACAATGTCGACGATTCTATCTGGGATCATGTCCAAATTCGTGCTAGGTACGAATTTTTGAATAAAAATGGAAGCTAGAGAATAGTGCGCTTTTTATGTCTATGCTGAATAAATTTTTTCGAAAAAGCCGTCCACATCGTCAACATTTTTGCTTTTGAGGTGCGGGTGTGGGTGTAGAAGAGCAGATACGTACGCAAGATCTACACCCATCGGATTCTTTTGAATTCATAAAAAACGTACATTTTAGTAGTATCTCAAAGAAGTCAATTAGTGCCAGATAAAGTACAGGCAACTTCTCTTTCTACAAAGATCTATGGTAGGTGTGAAGGGCTTTCGTTACTCAGTCGCGCTTGTAAGTCATATATGATCGGGTTCTCAAAATGATGCATCAGCAGATAGCTAATACAAAACCATCTTTGTATATTCATGCCTTTGTAGTTCGGTGTTCAGTGTGAACAAGCTGTATAACATCGTGCGCGATGGTCTTAGTATGAGAGATAGCATGCTTCAAACAGAGCGTTCTCTCCATGCATTCAACAAGAAATATATGCAGTTTTTAGCCTAACTAATAACGACGTCAATGCTAATGGTCTGAAGTACACAATTTCAGTCTCATAAAGTAGTTTTTGTATATCCTTCGTGATGCTGTTGTTCCATCGCAGTACTTTCTCGGTCTTGAGAGTCACAAATAATGATGTTCGAACGAAGTCTATAGAATATCGCGTGGTTCTCAACTTTTTGGGAAAGATTGGTGCAAACATACACAAAGAAGCTATTTTTTGTGTTTGATACAGAAAGCAAAACGTAAAATTAAGTGATCTACTTGAGCGCTCAGACTGTTTTATACTTTTGGACTTTACTCTCTTCACGATCCTTCACTTCTTGATGCTTGAGGACTCCTCTCTTCATACAATTGAACTTTCACAAACTACATATATATTAACTATGAGCTCCGGTTTCGAAATCAAAGCAACAGTCGTAATCAGGATGGAAAATAATGAAAACGCGAGAAACAACAGTAATCCAATTTCTTTCATGATTAAATGTTGATTCCAACCAAATCTAACAGTTGACATCATTACTGCGCGAGAAAACTCACGTGCGATCTATAATCCTTTGAGTGGTCATGCTAAAACAATGAAACAAACCGAACCGGTCTATTGGTCGGTTGGATATCGTCCCACTATGTTATTTTATTGTTGTGAAATAAGAACTGATACGCTTTTCGTTGAGATTCAGCAATATACATATTATGTAGAGACCTGCGAAGTCAATTTTTTTATTCCGAAGCCCAACACCGACTCTGACTCCGACTCCGAAAAACTCCGGAAAACTCCGAAATTTTATTATTGAAACGGGCAATCTCTGATACAATAGTCGAAAGATTATTTTCAGCTTCAAAGAATACTACATCGGAAAAAAGAACCAACTTAGGTTCCGAAAAAATCAACCAAAAGTTATTTTAACAAAAAATTTAACTTTGTTGAAAGAGCTCTTCTATGAGAATGGAAGAACAAGAACCATTTCAATGTCATCAACAACCACAGCCTCATCTGCAGATTCAATATCAATATCTATTATGCCCAAGCAATCAAAATTTGATGATGAAGGCAATTATAGTTGTTTGGATGATGCTGAAATATTTCTTGATTCATGATATGTTTTTATTAAGTTGATCTCTCGAATTTTATAGCTGCAAGATGATTTGTTTCTTCTTTTTTGTCCTGAAACTCATTTTCAATATATGAAATAAAGGATGCCTTTCTTATTTTTTGCCTCTTACAATATGAAAAATAAAGATATTGTTGTGTAAAATAGCGAAATTTCATCCGACATAATTATAATTCTGACTCCGGTTTACTCCGAGCATTTTTTCAAAAAAATTGACTCCGACTCCGAAAATTTTCTTTTTCTTGGCTCCGGCTCCGAGTCCAATCCTGTCGGAGTCGGAGTTGGAATCGGGTTTTGGAGTTCCACGCAGGTCTCTCATATTATGTCTCTTGTGCTTGACTCAATGATTCTTACGATCACGAGTGAACTGATTTCCCTATTAAATGGAATGATCGGGAGTCTTCAGAATTCATCGATGCCAGATATCCCAATGGATATGAACCAGATGATATGATATACTAAGATATTATGACCTTTATTCACCAAGCGCATTTGAAAAATGTTTAAGTGAAGAAACCATGGCATCCATCAGGGCAGAGGTGTCAACAAACACACATATTCTTAGTGATCGTATACCGCTAATGGTAAGAATCGATCTGTTTTAGATATAGAAATTCTAAGAGTTTGTATCTCTCATTTCAAGAGTTGACTCATGGCGCTTCTTTTTAATTAAAACTGTCGGTTCGACCGATTCATTCGCTTTTCATTGGTTTTCAACCGATTTTTTGATAAAATCATTTTTTACTGAAACAAATCGATTTAAAACTCTTTTAGTGGATCATTTTAGATGGTACTACAAATTTTTCTATTGGTTAATCTTCTAACTTATAGTGATTTTTCTAGCAGTATATTTAATAAAATGTTCAAACTCGTAAATTAGCGAAAATTAGCCGGTGTGACTAATATCAGCGACTTCAGCACGTTTAAGGTGAACCAAGGTCAAAAATCGAGAAAGAGAAAAATTCCTTTTATTATTACATGGTTGGATAGAGCTTGATGAGTAGATCATGAATATCATCTTTAAAATATTTCTAGGCTTCCGTTTTGGTTGAGAAATTTTCAAAATACAAAGTGCACCGGAAAAAGCGATTATTTCACTTTTTTCGAGAAAACTCGAAATTTACCTAGTTTAACAATGTTCTAGTTTTAGAGAACCATCATCACCGAATTCAGCATGAAAATCTAAATCTACTGTTGTAACTTTGAGCAGTAAAAAGCACAAGTTTCATGTTTGAGGAGCTTAAGTAGGTCTCCAATGTAAACACGTTGAAATTGATGTCTCGCAAAATCGTCAACTATTTTTTTTCGCAGCCATTCTCCGAGTTTCTTACGCCATTCGAACCGCCACGTGATAGTGCACTAAAGCATATGTTCAGTTTCAAAATCGATTTTTACTAGATCGGCAGCTATAGGTTAGATAATTGCCCTCTTATTTCGAGGTTTTGGCTATCAAAACTCAACTTCCATGCAAAATAAACATCAGATTCAGAATCAGCACAAAAACAGCATTGACTATCATAACTCTTATCAAAAAATAATTTTCCTCAAAAATTTACCAGTGGAACAGTACAGGGTAAAATCAAGAAAAAATGCCTGAGGGATAGGTAGAAGGCTAAGATTTTGAGGAAAATTTTTTTTGATAAGAGTTATGATAGTCAATGCTGTTTTTGTGCTGATTCTGAAATTGATGTTTGCTTTGCATGGAAGTTGAGTTTTGATAGCCAAAAACCTCGAAATAAGAGGGCAATTATCTAACCTATAGCTGCCGATCTAGTAAAAATCGATTTTCAAACTGAACATATGCTCTTGTGCACTATCACGTGGCGGTTCGAATGACGTAAGAAACTCGGAGAATGGCTTCGAAAAAAGATAGTTGATGATTTTGCGAGACATCAATTTCAACGTGTTTACATCGAGACCTACTTAAGCTCCTCAAACATGAAACTTGTGCTTTTTACTGCTCAAAGTTACATCAGTAGATTCAGATTTTCAGGGTGAAGTCGGTGATGATGGTTTTCTAAAACTAGAACATTGTTAAACTAGGTAAATTTCGAGTTTTCTCGAAAAAAGTGAAATATTCGCTTTTTCAGGTGCAGTTTGTATTGTGAAAATTTCTCAACCAAAACGGAAGCCTAGAAATATTTCAAAGGTGATATTCATGATCTACTCGTCAAACTCTATCCAACCATGTAATAATAAAAGGAAACTCTCTCTTTCTCGACTTTTGACCTTGGTCCATCTTACACTAGTCAATAAAAAAGAAATTCTTTTTACACAGAAGAAACAATAATAATATGAAAGTTATCGAATCAACAATGACTCTGAATCTCATCGATGATTCAGTTGCTTTTGTTTCAAATAAGATCCATCCGAGATGAAGTAATTTCATTCTGCTTTTTTCTCAACATAGACCATGAACTATCTTTTCTTGTCTAGAAAAGTGTTTAAAAAATATCAAATTCTTTCATGCTAACGAATCAAATCATTTTACTAAGAGCAAAATTCGCGATTTCCGAGTTAGATTATATTATCTTTATATATTTATTCTTTCGTTGAAAAACACAATAAAAATTCTACTTCTAATGATAATAAAATTTCAATGATACTAAATCGGAATGAGCATACTCTATATTTTATTTTTCAAAGAAGATCCACTTTAGTTAGCCTATTTATACTGCCTGATCCATATTGATAATCGATACATCATGTCATTCTAGTTTGAAAGAGTAATGCAAATAAAATGTATTTTTTTGTGAGGGAATCAAGTGATCTATCATTTCTATAGATTTGTAAAGTAACGTTAAACATACTAAATACTGCATAAAATGCATTGTACTACGAATTCGGTAGAAAAGTGGTTGAACAGCCATATGGGAGAGAAATTCGTCATTATGATTGCAAATAGAGATGAGATTGAGTAAGAAAATTGTTACTAGTGGCAGGCTATCCTCATTCGATAGCCGAGCTATTCTTACGATGGTAGCCACGGACGTTTTTCTTTACAAGAAAACGCATTTTCAAGTATTTGTTTACTTTAATAGCAACATCACGTGTATTATTCTCATAAATAAGATGAAAAATATTAAAAACTACTTTTTATTCAACCAAAAGAAAAGAAAAATATAACTTTTCATCTTGAATGGTACAGATATATATATATATATATATAACCCGTAAAGAATAGTTTTGTAGCCAAGTGGACGATTCATTCATCAGAATAGCATATAGAATTATTTTCTTCAACATATTGTTCATTTTCTATTTTCTCACATCTTCCGATTGTGTTTCTCGAGAAGGGAGTCAGCGCCGTCAGGTGAACCTGTCATATCAAAATAAATCATGCGTAATAAAAAAAAATTGTGTTTCTTGTTGCATATACGAAGAAAAATAAACAGTTTGTTAGTCCACATATTTCATCAATATTGCTAAGCTTTGCATATAATTGAGAACGAAAGAAAAGTATCGATTGTGAATCAAGGCTACATTGCATATTGAAATGAGACAATCAATAACTGATGAAATGCTATTTCATAATCAATGAATTTCCAAATGAATGATTGTGTTGACTGTCAGAAGTAGGCAACATTGAAGTATGCCAGAAAGTTAGCTACCAAGTTCAATTAGAAAATATTTAATATGTTCTACATACCACATGCTTTCATCAAACAATTCCCTTGGGAAAGTTGACTTGTTTTAATTGCTGTTTTTATATGCTCATTGAAAAAATATAAATAGTATAGACCAATGATGTATTGCCTTTGCTGACACATTTTTGTCACTTTTTTTTATTGATTCAAGTAAGTTTCTGTTTTTTCTAATTGGTGTGAATTTGTGTCTTTCTCCAGCAACCATGAATTTGATAAAAATAATATCAATTAGTTTGGTCGTGTTTTTGTGTGTTACAATCGTTCAAAGCCAACATGGCGGAGTTCAAGATCAAACTCGAAGAATGTTGATGAAGAGAGATTCTCGTTTAAATAACAGACAGCAACTAAACAATGATGCATTGAAACGTCAATGGTTCAATGGACGAGAATGTTAGTAAGCTTAATGTGTATGATATTATGGCATGGAAGTGACGATTTCATTTTTCGTTGTTGAGCTTCATGTTCCCAAAAGAAAAATCATTTTCTTTCTTACTTCTCAAATGCCATGTATTTGTCTGTAGAGACTTTTGTTAAACTCTATATAGTGATAAAAAATCCTTGATCAGTTTTTTATGCTTCATGATGTTTAGATTGACTATGGTAGAACAGCTTGTCTACTCAAGCAGTTCTTGTATATTTCTTTCCTTTTTACTCGTAGTTTTTGCACTTGAGCTGTATTTTTATCTCTAGACAATGATTTAACGTCCGATTGGCCTAGATCGTCGAAAACAAGTGGCAGCAGCAGTAGTGCGTCAAGTGAATGCAGCAAATCAACAAAAACTCGACGTCATTGGAATTTGGAAAAAAATCTTCGAAACGTTCTTCGATACCCACTGAGAGAAGGATTCGAAGGTATCAGCTATACACGCCCAATTCCAAGTGATACATGCGGGCGACAACACATTTCGCCGAAGTTCTCAGAACGTATTCTTGGTGGATTTGAAGCAGTGGCTCACTCGTGGCCATGGGTATGTCTATCTGAAATTTGTTTGTTTTGAAATTTGACTGTTTTTATTTATTTATAAATATCAGCAAGTTTTATATGAACAAAGTGGAACTTGTGGAGGTACTTTGATAGATGAAAATTATGTTCTAACAGCTGCTCATTGTATCAGTACGAAAGATCCGTCCTTGATCACTATCATGGCTGGTATTCATAATAGAGATTTAGGAGACGTAGACGAAAGTTCACGACAAAAACTGCAGGTTACTAAAATTTTCGTACATCCTGATTGGAATGCAGACACAGTTATCAATGATATAGCTCTTCTTCGACTAGCTGAACCGGCGAATTTCAATGAATATGTGCAGCCAGCTTGCTTGCCTGGCCCTGATCCTAAACCAGATTCTGAGGTGGTGCTAATCGGTTGGGGAGCGGTAGAGACAGGCGGAGGGACTCATCATGTATTGAAACAAACACAAGTTCGTGTCATTGAAAACTGCGAACATTTCTGGACAGATATCAACAAAGAGAAACAAATTTGCGTTAGAGACCCGTCACTGAATTCAGTTGTATGCAATGGTGATAGTGGTGGTCCTTTACTACAAGAACATAGTGGTCAATGGGTCGTTGAGGGTGTTACTAGTTTTGGAGAGAGAGAGTGTGAAATGGTTAATCACAATATGCCGAATGTCTATACTCGTGTATCGGCTTATTTACCTTGGATCAACGGAATCACTCAGGTCATTATCGATCAGTCGGATCTTGTCGGACGGGTTATGTTTCCGATGCCACATGGTGACCGGATTCAATCGGTTAATTTCTGGTGAATTCCGATTATTTTCTTTGTGTTCTTATGAAATCTGGTTACCATATTCTTCGAGAACCGGTCAGATATAGATTGCCGGAAAATATCAGGTCAGATGATACGATTGGACCGTATACGACATGATCCGACAATATCCGGCAGCAAAACACTACCGGAATCCGCCGTGCCGCATGACGCTCGATTTCATGGTACATCCGGCTTAATCAGTATCATCGGAACCAATAGGATCATATCAGAACGGAACGGCCCCACTCGCCGGAATAATCCACTTCCTACAACACAAATCAGACCGAACACATTTGGAACTAATTACCAGATACTAGAGGAAGATCTTGTGATCCGTTCAGACCGTTAGTTAACACCTCATACAAGTGATGATAGGCATAAATTAAAAATTATGGTTCATCCAATAGGTTATTTATGAGAAGTCAATCCACATGAGCAACACGCTCCTGTATTTATTGATGCTGCGCGAAGTTATTGACCCAAATGAATTTCACTCAAGTCGTTTATCATAACTCCTGCTACTATAACATGATTCATCCATAATCTCCAGGTCTAACGCGAAATCCAGAACCATTTATTATTACCCAAGGCGAGATAAACTTGCTATATATGAAGACTCTGTTGTTCGTCCTTGCAGGTCGACACCATTTAAAACGCAGGCAACACGTGTTCCCTTGATCTGGCAGGACCGAAAACATCACTTCGAATCATCAACACACCCTCTTGGGGACGCTAAGATGTTGCTTACACAAACTATTAATTAGTTGGTATGCCACTAAATCGTTTTTCAATATCACTCAGAATTAGGGGTGGGCCATTAACATTAATTTAATATTAATGTTAATGTTTCTCATTAACCATTAATATTAATGCTTAATGTTTTCTGAGGAAAACTTAATTCATTAATATTAATGATTAATGAAAAACGTTAACATTCATTTTAAAATTAATGTTTTCCTTAATCATTAATATTAATGTTAATGTTTTTCCTTAATCATTAATATTAATGAATTAAGTTTTTCTCGGAAAACATTAACCATTAAGATTAATGGCTAATGAAAGTCATTAATTAATGTCATTAATTAAGTTCCGTTAAAAAAATGGTCCAACCCTACTCAGAATCATGTAAAAAGAGGAAAACGTATGCTGGAACGGTCTATAATGGCAATCCGAAAAAGTGTCAATGTCTTGGTGATTTTTTCGGCACATCGGCGTTGAGCTGTGGAGTGATTTTTATCGAAGAAAAGTGTGCTTGGATCCATAATGAAGGATGCTTTGAATCGTGTTTCATGCAGGAAAGGTACGTGAGAACCAGTTAAAATGATTATCTGCACGATTCTCTACGACTTATGTAGTATTTTGATTAGTCTAGAGTGATGTGTGGAGCGATTTTGTTATAATTTTTATGCAACAATATGACTGTTTAATGATGTTTAGAATGTTATGAATTGATGAAAACGTAAGTGGTGATGGTCCAGAATGATATTCAGATGCAGTATCGATGAATTATCAGTTATTTCGATGGCTGCAAAATTATGTCGAGCAATTTTTTCAAGAATTAAAATGGTACCAGATGACCCGGTAAATGGGTTTAGAATTCAGTTGAATGAATAAATGTGTAGGTGGATGGTTATGGATTATTGTAAGGGTGTGTATGGTGGACTTAGATATTGTTGGGTTGGGGTTACAATGTGTTTCAGGGCGGTTGTTATTGGTGTAAATCCTTGTTGTGCGATCTGTTTGGTGGTAATGCTATGGATTTATTGTGATTATTCATGAGGCGTAGTTGTGTCGGCCGAGGCTCGTTTTTGGAAGACTACAGTTGATTCACCTTCTGATTGAAGAATGCTTGTATGAAAGATTTTTTATGCGATTTTTGTCATCGGAATCCGATGCAATCCCGCCAAAGATGCGATCGAGCTTTTCTGATCCCGACATCATCCGATAGTCGGGGCCAATCGGTTTCGACAGGTTTGGTTCTATTATCCGGGAGGAAATGACCGGACCATTTTCCTTTGAGTTCTGCCCCGGATTCTGGGAGCAGAGATTCCGCGAAATCGCTGTCGGATCCTGACAGATGTTAGTGGGAATCATGCCGTGTTCTGGAGTGATCCGGTGCCGGTTACGATGGGTCCCGGCAGGATCGAGTGTCCTGGGCATGCATAAATAAGCAGTATTTCAAGATTTTCATAAGACTTAATATTATTTAGTTATTTTTATTATTTTTTTCTCGTCGCGATCGGTCAATTTGATGACATGACACTTGAGCTTTGTAACATTAATCAACAACACCATCTTTGGGAAACGTTATCTGGAAGAAATATTGAAGCGTATCAAGTAGAAGAACTTTACTATCGGAAAAGTTTTGTTAAATTTCTCAAGAAGATATCTACCTTCAATCAGAGAGTACTATAGATCTTTCTAAAGTAGGATTCTACTTATGTTGTCGGGAAAAGATTCTTCAGTTTCTTGCTTTTCATATTCTCTGGTGTAAGGTGCACCAAGGTTAAAAATCGAGAAAGAGAGAATTTCCTTTTATTATTACATGGTTGGATAGAGCTTGATGAGTAGATCATGAATATCATCTTTAAAATATTTCTAGGCTTCCGTTTTGGTTGAGAAATTTTCAAAATACAAAGTGCACCGGAAA